CCCCGCCCCCCCTTCTCTCCACAGAATCATCTTCCAATGAGGCCTCACCTTTCCGCCACTTGGGTCGTTTCCCTCCATCTCTGTATGGTCATCAGGATGTGAACAAACTGCCAGAGTTCCAGCACCACCTCCATCATCATCGTCACCATCAGCACCCTGCCAGATTAGCCAAAGACCTACCTGATGGTCTGTTTCCTCAGGAGCCCGCCGGCCAGCAAAGCCTTAACCTGCTGGCACGACCACATCACGAGGTGCAGCCGGAGCATGCTGCTATATCCGCACGACATTTAGTTACTGTGGTGAGTAACCAGCCATTTGACATCAGTGGAATTCTTAGGATACATGTTATGTTGACACAAACTGAGGAGTGAGCGAAGTGTGAAAGGGTCTCAGTCTGGACATGAACACAGTCATATTAACTGTCCGTTGGGTTTACAGCTTGTCACGTTACGATTGTAGCATGTCATGATGTGTACTACCAAAACTGGGGATTAGAAGGGAATTTGGCTTTCTCTTATATCGATGCAGAAAAGTTCGTTTTTATAAATTCATCAGAATACAGAAAACTGAGTGTCTGTGCTGAAAAATGCATTCTTTCTAGCAGAGGATGTTTGGTTTCTGAAATATATTTCAGACACAGAAATGTTCCTTGGTTTAAGCCCTGGAAGTAAATCCGACCAACAGGAATCCATAGTGATGAAACGTCAGTTTGACAGCTGGTGAAATTCCAGCAGCTGAAGGCTGCAGATAAGGAATTTCTGGATGGTGTGAGTCAGTCGTCTTATTTTCCCACCGTTGATATGATTGTTGGATAAACGGGGTGAGGGAGGTTACAGGCAGCTCATGCTGAGAAGATCAGAGGTCGCAGTGAAGGGGCAGGAAGTGAATGATGGGTGAGATGTTGCTCTATCCACATCATGGGAGGAGGAGGAGGAGGAGAAGAGATGCCCCACTCACTGTTGCTATGGTAACCTTGATTGTGTGTGTGTGTGCATGAGAGACCCACTTTACCTTCACAATGGGGTGGTTGCGTAACTCGGGGACAAACAGCAGTGACCTTTACAACGATGCTGAGACAACGACACAGGTGGACGAATGAGGGAGAAAGGCGGGTAAAAGATGGCAGTGCTAGACGACAATGTGATGACACCAACAAGCTCTCCTTATAAATAACGATGTTGGAAAGCCATAACATTTTTTTTCTGTGACCCAGATTCTGACTGCAGGTTCAGCTGTGCTGTGTTCTCACACTGATGCTCTGGTGTGTTCCTCTCAGCAAAGAACACATTCATAAATCTTTTTTTGGACTATTTTTACTCTCATGAGGATTTTTTTTTTCCAGCGGGTCTGTGGAAAAAAAAAATCTTTCATTTGCTTGTTGCTGTAACTGCATGAGTCATAGTATAAATATGAATATTCATCCTGTGTCTGAAACAACTCGGGCAACTCTTCCTTTATAATAGCCGTCTTCTGATTGGCTGCTCTTCACTCGAGCAGAACGTGGAACAACTACTTGTAAAGCTTGTTTTTGCTGGGGTTTGATTGTAGTATTACTATTAGTAATTACCATTATTAGTGTTGTCCAGACTTCCTCACTATTGAACACAAGCAGCCACTTTTATTATATATGAGAAGCAGAGATCACCAGGGTGTGACTCTAGTTATAGGAGTTCATGTGTCATCATGTCAACACAGTAAAATATTTCCTGTACTATTTTTGTCTTCATTTACCATTTGCTTGCTCCCCACTGTACCACATATTGGATTTCATGATTGATTCCTTGTGTACATCTTCAGAGCTGTGGTCAGTCATCTGATACTTGGTCTGATTCACAGCAGGCAGACAGATTTATTTATAGGACAAACACTGCTGCTGATTCATTTAACTGAATCTCTACATCCCTGAAATGTGAAGTCTCGCTACCAACACTCCCACAATATTTCGCCAAGCAGTCAATGGTGTCATCGCCACAGATGCATTGTAGGAGTAGAGGCAATGTGGAGAAACCTCCAGTGGAAACTAAAAGACGGGCGAGGATGCTGAGAGCTTACAAATGGCTACCTGTCTGTCTCTGCAGCTCAGTCTCCCTCTGTGTTTGTTTTTGGATCAGTCTGCAGGATGCGGGGTCCTTCCAGCGGGGCATAGGTCACCCTTCACAATGCACAATGAATAAAACACACACAGACCAAAACATAAGAACATTTGAAAGGACTGCTGTGAGAAAATAATATGAAATCTAAATTTGTATTTAAGGAATTAACACATTCATGGACCAGTTAATCAGGGTCACATCAGCTGGTATGAGCAGGTAATAAACGTCATGAGATGTATTAAAATACAATACAATATTGGTTAAAGTACGAAGAGTACATTATTGGACTCTGACATTTCTTTTTTCTTTCGTAAGCAAGTGTTTATTTCCTTCGTGGTTTCCCAGTTAAACGCTTGTGTGTAATTTTAGTTTTAATTAAATTGTGCGGCTAATTTGTTGGTGAGTTATCTCTGACTGCCACTGGGCCACAGTCAGCCTGTTTTTGCCCCTCATGTCCCCTGATGACCTTTCTGCTTTTATCAATGAGAAACTGCTGTGAGGCGCAGTGTACTTCCCGTGTGGTCACATGACCCGTCCCTGCAGGCTGCTGCCGTGCCATCACTTCACCACTAATGGACGGAGAGTTTCTGTGACACAGTTGAGCCTCGCCGCACTCACACTGATCTAACTCTTTGGTGGCCATGGCACATTAAAAAGCTCCGACAGCACAAACACAGTCCAGAGGTCCAGCTCCGGGACTCCACTTACCTGAGTCTGTGTCACCATCCACCTTAAAGGTGTAGTTTCCTGTTTTTGTCAGTGGATGACGAAAAAATTAGGCCTGCTAGAACTTCACTGTTTACCTACGATTACTTACAGGCTGTTGCTCTGCGTTGTTTAGTCTAATAAAAGTATGATGCGCATAAGCTTAAGACAAAAAAACGAGCCACCTACATTACCTACAAACCTGAAACTTCCCCTTCTCTCCGTCCACCCCCACAACTCCTACAGTTGCTGCTCTCAAACTCCTCTGCTGCACTTCTTGAATATGCAGACTTGCAAACCTCTTCCTGAATCGCATGTTGTTGTTATTATTCTGTTGTGATATATCAACATAATATGACTCAAGGAACATGCTATGATGGAAGCTGAGAGAGGCGGAGTGGTTGCGTAACTCCCAGATGGTACCCAGTCACCTCCTGTCTCTGCATCCCATCACATGCCTGGAAGACACTACTGTGTGTGAGTGTGTGTCTGTGTGTGTGGCCTTTGTTTCTCTGTCAGCTTCTCACTGCATGTGTGAGCTGGTTGTTGCACACAGATTCTGCTGTACTTGATATAAAAGTGCAACGGTTTACCACTTTAGCAGGATGTCTGATGCAAAAGGGGCACGTTGGAGGCGTCCCTCTGGGAAGGTGAAAAATCACTGGATGAACAGTGCTGTCGTGTATTCTTATACAGTAACTACATCAGGGCTTTCACAGATGTGCAGTCAAACTTTTTCCTGGACACAGATTATTGAATTTTTCTTGTTGAGTTTGAAAAACCTTCAAATTTTCAAATGTGCAAAGCAAATGTTTAAACATGCAGACCCAAACCAGCGGGCGGGTGACTGAGTTCATATCTCTGCCTACACGTGTGTGTGTGTGTGTGTGTGTGTGTGTGTGTGTGTGTGTGTTATAACTGCTGGTGGAGGGAACTTTGACACCACTTCAAACCCACACAGATGAACATGATTCATCCACTGCTCTGCGTTTGCTCGGTTAACTCCTAAAGTCTGTCTACAGGTTTGCTTTGACGTTCATACTAGTGTGTCGTTGAGTGTTTTTTAACTTTTAAATGCATAGTTTAAATCTTTAGTCAAGTGAGACTATTTTAGTCCCACTTCTCTTTATATTTAGTTATTTTATTTTACTACTTTAACAATATTAGCTAATTTCGAATTTGATGGCAATGGCACATTGCAGAATGGTTGGGACGGGAGCAACGAAAGGCTTGTAGCTGTTGGCATGATGACATTGTACATAATTTGGATTATTTCTTTATCTCGTCAAGATCCATGTCATGATTGTAAATTGTTTAAGCTGTACATTACTTTATGTTTGGTTTTTTTTGTAGTCAACGGTTTGGTGCTTTTATTTTGAAAGTCAAGTTCTCTTACAAGTGGCGCTAGTTTCCTCTTTGGGTAGAAAGAAGAAAAACACCTGTAAGCACGCAGAAAGGATGGTTTTTATTGAAAGACATGTTAAGTGGACTTTAACTACACATGGTTAAACGGTTAAAGAAACCTCAGAAGAACGGCGGCTAATTCCCTTTTTGCAGCATGCAGCCAACGAGGTATTTATTTATTGATCGTGTTTGCTGTACAGTGTTTTTACTGCTGTGTCTTACGCTGAGTTTTATTTTGTTAATGCTGTATAGTTTTCACAGTGGCTTTGGAGAGAAGTCTTCAAATAAACCAGTGACAGAAAACCACTTGCGTCTGCCTGTGCTTCGAGGGAATTATAAGGCTCAAAAAGGAAATGGTGCAGCAGGTCAGAAACATGCTGGATTTAAAATGAGTGAAAATGAGTTTTACCAATCTACAAAATGGTGTCTACACATTGTAGAAAAAATTCAGTATAATGTTCATCAGTGTAAAATTGTAGAGACTTTGAATATCTCATCACTTACAGGACGACATGTCCTCAAAAGTTTCAGAAAATCTGGAGAAATCTTTGTGTGTAAGGGACAAAGCTAAAAATCAATATTTGATGCCTCCAATCTTTGGGCCCTCAGGCGGCACTGCATTACAAACAGATGTTATCCACATCTGCAGGTTAAAGCTCTGTCATGCAAAGAAGAATCCAGATGAGCTGCTATCTTCTCTGGACTAAAATGGAGCGAAGCAAAGTGGAAAGTTAATGAAAAACGTGGACACTTCTTCCAAACTAAAGAGAAGAGAGACCATCCGGTTTGTTATCAGTGCTCATGTCTTCATATTAGAGTGCAGTGCTGAACTGGCCTGCCTGTACTTCAGATCTTTCACCACCTGCGAACATCTGGAGCATCATGAAATCAAAAATACGACAAAGATCCGGAACTGCTAAGAAGCTAGAATCATGCTAGATTCCAGCTTTCTGGAGCTGCCAAATTCAAAATGATTTTTTTTTTTTTTTAAATGGTCTTTCTCTCAGGGTTTGTGATTTGCAAATCATTGCATTTTGATTTCATTCCTGCTTCCTTTTTCCCTTTTTTTATCCCTGGGCGCAGTTTTGTTTGTGTTG